GCCCGAAGCGGCGCGCTGAGCGCGCCAGTTAAAAAAAGCACCGGGGAGCCGGGAGAAGCGGGGGGCCGTATTAAATCCGACCGCGGGCCGCCTTTGGCCCGCGGGCCGGACTTTGGACGCCCGAAGCGGCGCGCTGAGCGCGCCAGTTAAAAAAAGCACCGGGGAGCCGGGAGAAGCGGGGGGCCGTATTAAATCCGACCGCGGGCCGCATTTGGCCCGCGGGCCGGACTTTGGACATGCCTGATATAGGAGAACACGTTATACTCCTTATCAGAGGAACCGACACTTCTCCATACCCTACTTTTCTACCTAAAGTTTGCACAGAATTCCACATCAGTGAGTCCATTGTTCTCCTTGCTTTCTACCCAAAGCCTCATAAGTCCCACAAGGAAGCAGTGTTATGTACCTTAGACGTGTGCAGGGCATTATCCTTTTACTTTGACCACACATGACCTTTCTGCAGATCACAGGCTCTTTTTATCACTTGCGGAATGATCTCAGGGAACACCGTTATCATCCCAGTGTATTTCCAAGCTGCTAATGTCTTGCATCACCCAATGTTGCTCCCGCATGGGGCAGAACACTTCCTGTGTGTTTTCTTCCCTCCCCCCTCCCCCCCGCCCCGAGCACACTCCATGCAAGCATTAGTCACCTCAGCAGCCTTTCTGAAGGGTGTTTCCCTCAATAACATCCGTGGAACAGCTACTTTGTCATCCAACCACACATTCATGAGACAGTATGCAATCCCTTCACAAGTAGACTCAACCTCTACAGGTATCAGAGGGGTGACCGTGTTAGTCTGAATCTGCATAAACAACAAGAAGTCCTGTGGCACCTTATAGACTAACTGATTTATTGGAGCATAAGCTTTTGTGGGCAAAGACCCTCTTTGTAGCTCATGCAGTCCTTTCATCGATGCACAATACTTAATCCAAAGCCCGCCTGCCAGATTGTGGGTACTCCTCCATAGCCACCAACAGTGGAGCACCCACGGGGACATCACTTGCAGAAGAAAGGGAAGTTACTCGTGTGTGGTAATGACGGTTCTTTGAGATGAGTGTTCCACAACCCATTCTTCCTCCGCTCTTCTTAAGATTCATTACACGCAAGAGGGCGTGCACGAAGAAATTGAGGAGAGTCGGGCCACGTGCACACCCAATCTCCAAAGGTGCGAATGATACATGCCCCTGCTGCACGTGCATGGTCCGACCAGGCACGCCTGGAAAAATCTCTGATCGGCAGCGCTCCATCACCAATAGTAGAGCACCCACAGGGACACACATCTCGAAGAACCGTTGTTATCACACAGGTGAGTAACTTCCCTGTTCCAGCCGCAGTGCAGCTTAGGACAGTTCTGAAGATAAGCAAGGCTTTATTACTTAAACTATATGAGTTTTGTTTTAAAAAGAAGAAAGATGAAGTTTAGGAATGGATGTATTTGCCAGTGAAAATAAAATGCAATCTCTAAACATTTTGAATGGACTACATAATCTCACTTTAAAAAAAATGAATGAGGGCATTGTTTTATCTTTTCCTTCTGTTTATTTATAGGCATTTATGTTGCACTCACGGTCATCATGTCTGAGCCCCTAGGAAAGCTGAAAGGCAGTTTTGATAGTACAGTATATAAATAATCTCATTGAAGAATTGTACAAATTGCCGCTTGTATGTACTGATTTATACAATTGCTAACTGATGCCATTATTTTCACTACATCTTTGCTAGAAATTATCTCTATTCCACTTCAGTAAACCAATGTTAAGGTTTCACTGGAGGTACCTTGGAGTCACATCAGTGAGTCAGAGGTTAGAATGTGGCCCATGAACCAGATTAGCCTTTGTAAAATATAATGATCACTTACTTAGTTAAACTTCCTTGTCTTTGCTTTACTATTAATGCAGATAATGAAAGTTACACTACACATGAATATACTTGTTCTTTATACCTTGCTTCTTATTATTGCTAACAAGAGCTATTCTATTTAATAAATCACATGCTAAGCTGTCCATGAAAGCTCAGTTAGATACTGATTGCCTTTGATTGAAGAATAATTTGCTACTAAAGTAAAGCAGATGTAAATCAGGATTTATATAATCGATTTATGTGGCTGATATGTTTAGTTTAGGCTTTTTAAAATAAATTAATCAATTTGTGTGTAACAGATTCTGTCCTTCCTGCCCTGCACAATGCACAGGTGGATTTCACAGATAATTCACAGCAGTATTAATGAGATTTGTTTATGGCATTTCCTCCTTGCATCACTGCAATCTTGCTAAGCTATGTCTGATTATTGTTTGTGGGTGTGAATAAAATCAACCCTCTGAGCACTGTAAGCTTTACTGGCATATGCACTGGTGTGCACAGCGTTATGTCAATGGAAGAAGCCTGATGAGCTGGTTTTGTAATGTATGTGAGAGAATTCTCTCCCATCAGCATAACATGGCAACATAAGCCCTCTTTACAGCAGCACAGATGTGTCAGTACAGCTGTGATGTTGTAAGCTTGTCAGTGTGGACTGGGCCTTAGATTTCAAAGGCTATGTCTACACTAGAGAGCTTTCAGCAACAGAGCTGTACGCAACTGCACTGCTGTAAGATCTCTCATGTAGCTGCTCTACCGCTTCGCACATTACCTCTTATGCCAGTGTAACTTATGTTCAGCAGTGGTATGTTATTTTTCACACATCTGAGCAACATAAGTGTTGCCAATATAAATGGTGGTGTAGAAATGGCTAATCGTGTCTGTCACTGACATACCTTCTGCCATTTGTGGACATTTTTTTTATGCCAACAGGAGAACTGGCTCATGTCAGCAGAAAGCATCTTCAGAAGACACTCTGTATGTACAGACTTGACCAAAGTTTCAAGCCAAGTCTGGCAAAGTAATATCTGTTACCCACCATCTGTCATTCACATCCTAACAACTTCATAAGTATATTATGGTTAGTATTAGGGATGTTAACTAAAAAGTATTTGTGTAACACTGTAACCACTGGATTTTTTTAGTGGTTACACATTTACATACAGGGGAGCAGGTGGGAGCTGGTGCTTGCAGGAAGCCAGCTTAAAAACTGACTCCCCTCTAGGGTTGCTAGATGGTTTCAGAAAAGATATCGAACCAAAAAAAAAAAACCCCAGCTTAGATCAACCTGTACTTGTAGTGTAGACCTGCCTTCGATGAGGTTGCAGGAGGCATGTTAGGATGAAATTTGCCCTGTAATTTTAAGTGTCTTTGAAAATGCACCCACAGTATATGCCGGTGAATGCGTGCATTAGTAAAGCAAAACCAAAATGTTGCTTGAGCAAACAGGCTAAAAATGTGTAATTGAACAAAATATACATCTTTCATGCCCAATGTGTATTTTGGGGTTAGGGACCCTCTCAAAGACCGCTGGAAAGTGTTGGACTTCAAAGTTTAGCTGTACCGGAAATACAAGGCAGTGATATTTTTCCTTTCTCTTCTGATAATGACGCTTAGCTATATGATTTACCACAATTTCTTTTTACTATAAGTATCAATTTAATGTTATCATGTTTTAAGGATGCACTCATACATGATAACAGAAAAGGGAGTGACTGGTAAACCAGCACAGGATTTGGGAGCAATCATTATTATTTTTGCCACTTTTAACACACATGGGTTGTCCTTGCACTGTTAGATCCTACTGATTTGACTTTCTGTGAAGCTTTGAATGGAACTTTAAGCCAGTTCGCTACTGGAAGATGGGTGTCGTACTGTTTCCTCTGAGAACATATCCCTGAGAACACCTGTTTCCTCTGAGAACATATCCCTTCTCTGGTGCCCTGTTGATGTTCCTCTCCATTTGTGCCTAAGGATACAGATTGTACTCCCTGTGCCCACAGGAATGAATCCGGTCCATTAAAGGGTCCTATAAACCCTATTTTAAAAAGCTATTTGGCCTTGTTCAGATGATGATGTTCTGGTGGTAACCTTCTGGGTCCTACCTGTAATTAGATATAGCAAGGTATTTTCACCCTTTGGGTTTTTGTTTTGTGCAGAGATTTGAAGTAACATAGTTAGTGTTGAGTATCTGCAGTGGTACATAAAGATGCAATGTATTTTATTTGCCTTGTAATGTGCTCATTCACTGGTTACTTTTATTTGAGTAAAATAAACTGTTATCATGACTCTTGGAAAAAAGCTTACGTGATCACATGCATGGAGTGACAATAAAGTCTTGCTGGGTGTGCATGTAAAACTGTGTGTGTGAATAATATTCGAATTAAAATATTTATTTGTGTTCCTTTGGTAGCCAGAAGTGCAACTTGCTGAAGGCTTTGATGTTTTTATGCCCAAATCTCAGCTGGACTCTATATTGTCAAACTATACTCGCTCAGGAAGCCTGCTGTTTAGAAAGTTGGTGTGTGCGTTTTTTGATGACAAGACTTTGGCTAACTCTTTACCTAATGGCAAAAGAAAAAGAGGACTTAATGACAACCGGAAAGGACTAGACCAAAATATTGTGGGCGCAATAAAAGGTACGTTTCTGCTTTGTTTTGTGTGCATGTATGCGTGTTTGTGTGTGTGCGCGCATGGGCATAGTTGAGACTGTGTTCTATACATTGAGTAATGCCATTTAGCTAGATTCCCTGGAGTTTGAGTCAGAAAATGTGCACTCTTTTATTTTATAATTTTTCCATAAATTCTGAAGTGGTCCCTCCAGGCCAGATTAAGCCATAGAAGCCCATGCATAGGGTCTCTCCCCTCTAAAGGCATGTGGTGAAATAAGAATGTCAACTTTATCTTCTTTATGGCTGCAGCAAAAAGCTTGAAAATGTGACCAGAATACTTTAGTCAGCGTACTTGAGTACTTCTGTGTGAGTTAGAAAACAACCTGAAACATTCGCTCCAAGTATAGAAATGCACTGCTCATTCATTAGATTAACTGTGTCATATCTATTCTGTGAATAACTGGATTAGTGGTTTCTGACTGACTGAGAGGTGGAGAAGATCTTATTGAGGAAAATCTAGTAAAAGAAATGACTTATGTATGAATCTAGTTCTGATGTCAGTGATGATGTGGTTCTGCTTGTCTGGTGGGAGTGAGTTCCACAGTCTATGGGTACATCTACACAGCAACATTATTTCAAAATAACTAGCATTATTTTGAAATAACTTAGTCCACGTCTACACAGTAGGCAGTTATTTTGAAATAATGTCAAAATACTGTCAAGTTGGAGAACATCTTACTTCGACTCCTGTAACCCTCCTTGTACCAGGAGTAAGGGAAGTCAGAGGAAGGATACATCTAGACTACAAGCCTCTTTCAAAAGAAAGCGTCTAGACAACAAACAGATTTTTCGAAAAAGCGAGCAGCTTTTTTTGAAAGAGAGTCTAGATTCTCACTTTCGAAAATGCACAGTTTGCATTCAGTAGCGCCTTTTTTTTGAAAGAGTACTTTTGAAAAAAGGCGTTATTCCTCGTAAAATGAGGTTTACCGTGATCGAAAAAACTGCCGCATTCCTTTGATTTACTTTTGAAAGAATGCAGTCTAGACGCAGGTGAAGTTTTTTTGAAAAAAGGCTACTTTTTTCGGAAAAACACTGTGTCTAGACACACCTGAAGAGTGCTCTATATCGAAATAAATGCTGTATAGATGTTCCCAATTTCAAAATAAGCAATTTCAAAATAAGCTACACAATTGACATAGCTCAATTTGCATAGCTTATTTCGAGTTAAGCCCTGCTGTATAGACACACCATATGTCAGTAGCTATCAACCTTTTCAAACTACTGTACCTCTTTCAAGAGTCTGATTTATCTTGTGTATCCCCAAGTTTCACCTAACTTAAAATTATTTGCTTACAAAATCATTCATAAAATGCAAAAGTGTCACAGAACACCATTACTGAAAAATTGCTTCATTTCTCATTTTTAGCATATAAATTATAAATCAACTGCAATATAAATATTGTATTTATATTTGTGCGTGTGTGTGTGTGTGTGTATATATATATATATATATATATATATATATATATATATATAATGCTCATTGTTTGAAATTTTAGTTTGTGCTGACTTCACTGGTGCTTTGTATATGGCCTGTTGTTTACCTATTTTTACATTTAGATGGGTTAATATACTCCTGGGAGTGGCATGTGTACTTGTGGTCTAGGTCAAGCTCCTCCGAATGTTCTGTCCACCTCTGAGTTGTCTTCCCCGTTGATCAGTGGTTTCAGGATTCCAGTAGAATGTAGGTGCTAGGGAAATTATGGTCCAGGGCTTTGAATATTAGGATAGAGACTCTGTTCAACTTAATCAGGGAACTAGTGAAAAAAGGAAAGCAGAGGGGTGGTCTATGTTAACTAGACAAGCTGTTGCATTTTGTACCATCTGGAGCTTTTAAGTACATGTGATTCATTCCTAGTTATGAGTTGCCATAAGCTAACTTGGGGGAGAAGACTATATGGATCATGGAAAGCTGGGAGAAGGCTCGAGATATGGGGGATCCTGGATCATTATAGCAGGGACAAGAGAGCGGAGAAATAAAATTAGGATCTTAGATGTCTGTATAATAAGATAAGTATGGAGAATAAACAGGAAGAACTAGAAATACTAGCGAATAAACACAATTGTGACATAATTGGCATCACAGTGATTTGGTGGGATAATTCACATGACTGAAATATTGGTATAGAAACATACAGTTTGCACAGGAATAGGGAAAAAAGGAGGTGTTTTTGCTTTGTATATCCAAAATGTATAAAGTTGGATGGAGGTTGAGATGAAAATAAGAGACAGACTTCTACAGTGTTTTTGAGTAAGGATAAAAGAGATAAAAAACATGAGTGCTTTTATAGTAGGGATCTACCATAGATTGCCTAACCTTGAAGAAGAGTCTAGACAAGGCTTTTTTTTTATAATATATAAACTATTAGCAAAATTATCCAAAGCACAGGACTTCTGGTTGATGGGGGACTTCAGCTACCCAGAAATGTTTGGAAAATAACAAACAGCAGAGCATTGATTATCCAACACGGTCTTGGAATGCATTGGTAATACTTTTTCATTTCAGAAGGTGGAGAAAAAAACTAGTGGAGAGGCTGTTCTAGATTTGATTTTTACAAACAAGGAGGAACTGGTTGAGAATTTGAAAGTGGAAGGCAGCTTGGGTGAAAGTGATCATGAAATGAGAGTTTGTGGTTTCCCACAGCTCCCATTGACCAGAAGTAGCGAACTGCTGCTACTGGGACCTGCCGGGAGCCAGGCCTGCAGGACGTCCAACATAAACAAACTGTCTCGCGGCCCACAAGTGGATTACCTTGAAAAGCCGCATGCCAGAGTTTGACAATCCCTGAGCTAGAGAGACCAGGAAGGTTTGAATATGAATTTTAAAATCAGCTTATCTGGAGCAAAGGTAGCAAGGGACAGATATTTCCAGTAGGTGGGGCCACACCATTGAAGTAACAAAACTCTCCCCACTGTAGAAAGCCTCAGTCACTGATGCAAATTGAAAAGCCTGAGTTACGCACCACTAAAAATTGGAGTTTGTAATGGAAATAGAAAGGTATTTGTGTAGCACTACTAGGCATTGCTATAATAAGAGGATTGCATTCACTGCATTTAGAGTATAACCAAATGATAGTGCATGACCCTTATCATGCTTCATTAGGGGAATTCTTTCATAGGGGCTAATGTAACATGTTGCCAAGGGTTGACACACTGTGGGACTTTACTCAGCCTGGCTCCAATAGCACTGTTTTTCCCTGAGGAGCTATGCTATAAGATTCTGTGGTTTCATTTATTCCAAGTAATGACTGAGCCAGTGTGAAATCTTCATGAGAACAACATCATATTGTTTGCATCATCATTAAGACTTTACTCTGCCAACTTCTTGGATATTGTTTAGTGGTGCTTTTAGTCCTTTTCCATGATGTGGATACAGAAATAGAGAAAAAGCTATATTCATTGGAAAAATTAGCAGAAAACTTAAGGGGACACTGTCCACTTGAAAATTAGCCTTCTATCTGAAAATATTTTACCTACCATCTTTACAATCTTGGGGGGGAGCCTTGGGGGCCGGATCCAAGGAAGCCAGGTGCTGCATTTGGTCTCCGGGTCTTAGGCTCCCCACCTCTGCTGTAAGTGAAAATGGTTACAGGATTAATTCTCTACTTTCTGCACATTTTGTGGAGTGCCCGTTTCACTGTTGTCCCCATGTAGTCATTTCCCTCTGTGTGTGTCTTTCATACAACATAGAGGAGAGAAAAATCTTGTTTACAAATAAGCAAATGTGATTGTAAAATCACAAAAATTGGCAGAGAAGTAGAAGCTAAAACTATTATCTTTTTAATTTACTAGAATTCAAGTTATTGTCTGTTACAAAGGATAATGTAATCTTTCCCATCATTAGACTCTGATATATTGTGGTCAGTTGTTGATTATTACAGTTGAACCTCTTTAATCCAGCAACCCTGAGAAACAGATTTTGTTAAAGATTTTGTCAGGCCAGGGAAGCTGCTGCAGGGTCTTGGCATGATGGGGATGGGGTGCTCACCTAGCACTCCGTTCCTGGAAGCAGTTTGCTTTTATATATGTTTTGCCATTATGATAAATGCTCTCTTCATATCACCTGCTTGCTAGCAGCCTGACAGACAAGACCATATGAAACCAGAAGTACCAGGAAGAGAACTGCAGTTTTCCACTTATGCCAAATGAATATGGTGGATAGTTATAAATATCTATCATGCCTTGAGGCTTAGGTCAGAGTTCACCATTATTTCAATACAGATTTTGTATATGTGACATACATGAGTATATCACATGAGATGTAGACATTTTCTCTCTCTCAGGTTTTTATAAGCAGCTACTCAATATAGTATCTATGTACAAAATCATATTTTTAAAGATACACGGAACGTTGAATTGCCCTCTGCTCTTGCCCTCCCAGGTTTGACTGCTTTAACCTCGGTTTTTGTTATTGTTGGTATTATTTTTAATCTTCTCTTCTTTTTCCCCCTCTTTTCAGTTTTGATGAGACACATTTTTTAAAAAATGTTACCTTTTATTTTAGTCTTCACAGAAAAGTATTGCACTGCTAACCACGTGGATAAACTTCCTGGCCCCCGAGACTGGGTACAGATTCTACAAGATCAAATTAAACTGGCAAGAAGACGGTTAAAAAGAGGCTCAGGTAAGCATGAAAATGTCAGAAATAACAACTTAGCCTAAGACTACAGTCACAGAGCCTAATTTTTTTCAGAAGTGCACTGAGCACCTGCAACTTGAAAGTAGGAATAAGAGATCCTCCGGAAAAGGCTTTATTTTCCGGAGAATCACATCTAGACTGGCGCTTTTCTCCGGCTTATCCCCAAGCCGGAAATCAAATCAGTGTAGACGTAGCCAGCATGTATCACTCCTCTGCCCCTCCCCTCACCAGCTGGGAGCGAGAAGAATGCAGGCAAGCTGTGCACTTGATTTTTTCTCCCTGATAGTGAGGGGAAGGGGAATAAGAACAAGCAATGTCCCAGTATGTGCAGCTGTAGCCTCCCCGCCCCCTCCTGAAATGATAGCCTTGGATAAGTACCCAGAAGACCTAGTGACACACATGGGCAAGTGTGGCAGCAGTTCAAGTCTGGCTTTGCAGTGTCACTGCCCACATTGAGGTTAGGCTAATCCAAGTGCTCAGACCCAGATGCTGATTACCTTATTTAACACTGCAGTGAAGATACATCCTTGGGCTCTAGTCCTACAATTAAGGGAATGTCAGCGCTGCACTCTGGCCATGTTCTGTCAGTTACAGTTGAAATGAGAATTTATATAATCAAAATCCATGGTAGAATTTCCAGGAAGCTGAAAACCATTTCTCCCCAATAAAGACGTGTGTGTAATTATTTTATCAGCTTATACTGGTCTGTTTTTGAAGTATTTTGCCCACTTTCCTCCTGGGGACACTCTTCTTATGTTGGGACTTTCAAAAAATGCTGGGGAGGGAAGTGAGACTCTCCATATGCAAGTATTCCCAGGCCTCTAAGAACTCTCTTTCCAATAGCACCTGCCCCCATTGTATGAAGCATATTATTTGTAACACACCAAGAACTCTGCCTTACAAACACCTTTCTTTGCTTGCTTCCTTTTTCTTACTGCTCCTCACTGCAAATAATTGTACTGTTCCTGATATGACATTGGGAACAGCGGCATCCATTATGACAGTGCAAAGCTATAGGTTTTGAACCAAGTAGAATTAAATTCTTAACCAGTTGAAATTGTGTGTGTTTATATATAGACCCTTCTTAAATAAACTAAGAATGGCTATACTGGGTCAGACCAAAGGTCCGTCTATCCCAGTGTTCTGTCTTCTGACCATGGCCAATTCTAGGTGCCCCAGGGGGAAAAAACAGAACAAATAATCAAGTGATCTTTCCCCTGTCACCCATTCCAAGCTTCTGACAGAAGCTAGGGACACAATTCCTACCCATCCTGGCTAATAGCCACTAGTTCTTTTATGAATTCTGTTAGTCGTGGTCTTCACAACATCCTCTGACAAGGAGTTCCACAGTTAGACTGTGCATTGTGTGAAGAAATACTTCCTTTAGTTTTTTTTAAACCTTCTGCTTATGAATTTCATTTGGTGACCCCTATTTCTTGTGTTATGGAAACAGGTAAATAACTTTTCCTTATCTATTTTCTCCACATCAGACCTGATTTTATAGATCTCTGTTGTATTCCCTCTTTAGTCTACGTTAATAAAACTGGGACTTTTTAGTTTGGAAATGTTTCCTCATTCTGCAGCCATTCCAAGCCCCTAATCATTTTTGTTGCCCTTTTCTGAACTTTGTCAAGTGCCAAGATTTTTTTTTTTTTTGAGATGAGATGATCACATCTCTCACGTTATTCAAGAAGTGGCTGTACCATGGATTTATATAAAGGCAATAAGATATTCTCTGTCATTTTTTAATGATTCCTAACATACTGTTTGCTTTATTGACTGCTGCTGCACATTGAGTAGATGTCTTAGAGAACTATCCACAGTGACTCCAAGATCTTTCCCTTGCGTGGCAGTAGCTAATTTAGCCCCCATCATTTTGCACATATAGTTGGGGTTATGTTTTCCAATATGCATTACTTTTCATTTATCAACGTTAAAATTCATCTGCCATTTTTTTGCCCAGTCACTTTGGTTTGTGAGATCCGTTTGAAGCTCTTCACATCTGCTTTGGACGTAACTATCTTGAGCAGTTTAGTCTTGTCTGCAAATCTTTCAACCTCACTGTTTACCCCATTCTCCAGATTGTTTATGAATATGTTGATTAGGATTGGTCCCAGTACAGACCCCAGTGGGACACCACTAATTACCTCTCTCCATTATGAAAACTGACCATTTATTCCTACCCTTTGTTTCCTAGCTTTTAACTAGTTATCAGTCCATGAGAGGACCTTGCAGTGTTTAATCACCCTGACAGTTAGGAAGTTTTTCCTAATGTCCAGCCTAAGCCCCCCTTGCTTCAAGTTAAGCCCATTGCTTCTTGTCCTATCATCAGAGGCTAAGGAGAATGATTTTTCTCCCTCCTCTTTGTGACACCCTTTTAGATACCTGAAAACTGCTATCAAGTCCCCTCTCAGTCTTCTCCTTTCCAAACTAAACAAGCCCAGTTCTTTCAGTCTTCCTTCATAGGTCATATTCTCTAGACCTCTAATCATTCTTATTATTCTTCCCTGGACCTTCTCCAATTTCTCCACATCTTTCCTGAAATGTGGTACCCAGAACTAGACATAGTACTCCAGTTGAGGCCTCATCATCACAGAGCAGAGCAGAAGAATGACTTCTCATGTCTTGCTCACAACACTCCTGCTAATGCATCCCAGAATCGTTTGCTTTTTTTGCAACAGTGTCACACTGTTGACTCATATTTAGCTTGTGGTCCACTATGACCCCTAAATCCCTTTCAGCAGTATTACTTCCTAGACAGTCACTTCCCATTCTGTATGTATGAAATTGATTGTTCCTTCCTAAATGGAGCACTTTGCATTTGTCCTCATTAAATTTCATCCTATTTACCTCAGACCATTTCTCCAGTTTGTCCAGACCATTTTGAATTTTGACTTTACTGTGCTTGAGTGCTCCTTTAGTGTCTCGATTGTCCAGTGACCCCACTGTTTTTTTAGCAGATTTCCTGCTTCTGATGTACTTTAAAAAATATTACTTTTTGAAGTTTTGATTAGCTGTTCTTCAAATTCCTTTTTGGCCTATTTTTACACTTCATTTGACAGTTTATGCTCCTCTCTATATTCCTCACTAGGACTTAACTTCCACTTTTTCAATGATGCCTTTTTATATCTCACTGCTTCTTCTAGTTGGTTAAGCCACAGTGGCACTTTTTTGGTTCTCTTTCTGTGTTTTTTTAATTTTAGGAATACATTTATGTTGAGCCTCTACTATGGTGTCTTTGAAAAGTTTCCAAGCAGCTTTCAGGGATTTTACTTTTAGCACTATACCTTTTAATTTCTGTTTAATTAACCTCCTCATTTGTGCATAGTTCCCCTTTCTGAAATTAAATGCTACAGCGTTGGTCTGCTGTGGCGTTTCCCCCCTCCACCTCCCACAGAGGCAGCAGGAGGACAAGCAGGAGCCAGTGCTCGGGGGAAGCCATCTTAAAAGCCGACTCCACCTGAGCAGGGTAGGCTTCCGCAGAGCAGCATCTGTCTGCGGCAGGTCCAGGT